ACAAACCAGGTTGTTTTTCCCCCACTGATGAACCTGGGCCTCACTTGGCTCAGCAGGGACCCGAGAGGTTCCCCACAGAGCAGCTCCATGTTTATTCTTCCTGACCATTTGCCTCCCTGTTGCAGAGAGGAAAACTACCTCTGCAGAGTCGCTCTGGCAGCGGGGCCAGGGAGGGCTGTGGACACTGCTCTGCCTGGTGCCAAGGGGTTAAGCTCACAGAAGTTCCCAAAGCCAGTTGCTTCCAACTGGCTGCTGCCTGCGGTTTGTGGGAAGGGATTCTGCTTTTTAATAACATTATAAATAGGGCTGTGTTCAGCATGCTGCAAACCCAGTTACACTCTCTCTCTCTCCCACCCATCTCCCTCCTCCTGCTCCTCTTCCCACCACACCAGTTCCAGACCTGACCATGAATCGGTCAGGCTTCTTCCTCGGTGTCCTCAGCATCCTGCTGGCATGTCTTGCCTCCACGGGGCAGGCATGTCCCCCGAGCTGCCACTGCCACGGGGGAGACCTGCAGCACGTCATCTGTGACAACGCAGGGTTGAAGAAGATCCCCAAGGTGCCCGAGCAAACCCGGCTCCTCAACCTGCAGAAGAACAACTTCCCCGTCCTGCCGACCAACGGCTTCCGTGACATGAAGAAGCTGGTGTCCCTGCACCTCCAGAGCTCACGGATCAAGGAGATCTCAACCGGAGCCTTCCGGGGACTCAAGAGCCTGGTCTACCTCTATCTCACTGACAACCAGATCAGTGTCATAAAGCCAGGAGCCTTTGATGACCTGTCAGAGCTCACCTACTTGTACCTGGACCGGAACAAGATCCCAGACCTACCCAAAGGGCTTCTGTCACCTCTTGTCAACCTCTTCATCCTGCACTTGGGCAGCAACAAAATCCGGGAGCTGAAACCAGGGGTCTTCAATGGGGCTAAAGACCTGCGCTGGCTCTTCCTCTCTGACAACTCCCTCACTAACCTCCTGCCTGGAGCTCTGGAGGACGTAGAAAACCTCGCTGTCCTCCACCTGGACAAGAACCAGCTAAGCAGCTACCCTGTGAACGCAATGAGTAAGCTGAGAGTGCTGGAGGAACTGAAGCTTTCTCATAACCCAATTGAGGTCATCCCTGACAATGCCTTCCAGTCCTTCGGGCGTTACCTGCAGACACTCAACCTGGACAACATGAAGCTGAAGAAGGTGAGTCTCTTTCCATTAGTTCCAGATAAGAAACATGGGGCTTCTCCTTTACAAAGCCCTCAGTTTGCTGTCCCTCCCTTGCAGAGGAGAGGGGAGATGCAGGTCTGTAGGCTCTGACCAGCTGACAACACCCCTGACACAGCCCAAGGGATAACAGGGAGTGCTCCACCCTTCTCTTGAGTTATTTTATGCAAAACCTAATTACCTGGAGCTCATCAAACTCCTTGGAAGGCAGGACATTCCCTCCCAAGCTGGAAATGACACCAGTCATTGAGAAAGGTATTTGGGGTGCTCCAGGACAATTAGCAAACTTCCATTATCCCAGACACAAGGCATGGGATGAGAGGCCAGCATCTGCCTTGTACTGGAGGGACAAGAAGGGCACTGCCACCTTGCAGGAGATCAGCTCCATCTCCTCTGTTGAGCCGGGGGACCTGTTCTATCCTGGCAGGGGGAGATGCCTCAGGAGGGGCTGTGAATAGCAGTGGTTTCTTACCCACCCCTTGCAGACAGGTAGGCAGAGGGACCTCCACCTTCACCTCCCCCCACACCTCCCAACTTTACACGTTATAAAGAAAGGTTTGTTTATTGATGCTCTCTCCAAGGGAACTCTCGCAGCGTCTTACAAAGGGGCTCTGTTCCCTCTGGAGAGGAGGAGGGACATTCAGGTATCCAGAACGGCAAAACAACCCCCTTCTTCTTCTGTGGGAAAGCACAACCCATAGGCAGGAGCCTTATACCCAGGAGGTGACTTGCATTAGGACCTCTGCAGTGTCAGGCAGGGCAAGAACAGAAACAAGCACAGTGCAAGAGGAGCAGCACCCAGTTGTGCAGCCCAGTGACCTCCTTGAGTGACCCCCAAGAGGCTGGAAAGGGGGGGTGCTGAGGTGGAACAGAACAGTTCTCCTTGGGATGATGCTTTGCCAGGAAGCCCAAAGGCAAAGGGCATCCAGAGAAGGCAGTCCAGGACTTCATGGCAAAGCAACACCCACCACCTGCAGGAAGATGTGATGAAAGAGAGAATTTCTTAGCAGCAAAGAGCAACTCAAAGGGCCTCACAGGGACACAGGTCACCTTAAAGCTCCCAGGAATAAAGCACACCATGGCTTTTCAACTTGCCCAGTTGGAGACTGGCACTCCCAAAGACCCTTCAGTAGCAGCCAGCCAGGATTTACACCTTGGTCCACTCACAGCACTAACCTCTCCAGGATGAGAATAAAAACACTTAAAGACAATCTACTGGCCTCTCTAGGCAAGACCTTAGACATGCTGCCACAGAACTTTTGTAGTCTGTTTTAAGGCACTTTAATCATGCACAAGTCAATAATTACAGCTTAAATTTTGTACCACTTGTAGACACATCAGAGTCTCAAGTTACATATTGAGTAATTAGACTAACCCATGATGCTGAGGTGCTCCAGGGAATTAATTGCCCTTGGCTTGGCCAAAAAGCAAGGGTTAACAACTCTTAACAGCAAAAAATACTGTCTTCTTTCCAGGGAACAGCTGTGGACAGGACCTTTAAAAGCTATTCCAGATGCCTCCTTTCCTCCTCAACAGCCCAGTAAAACACCAGTTTAGGAGATCAGCACTGACAGGGGTGGCTTCTGCAGCTTTAGGGCTTTCTTTTCCAGAAAAACAGAGTTCCCATCCCAGCTCAGAATTCTCTTCAAATCCTCAAAGGCCTCATATCCAAACAGCCCACGCATGAACTTTGCACTGCAAGGAGACATCCAGTCACAGAGGCCTCATGACCTAGAAATCACTACCAAATACTTTAAATGCTGCTGGCACCTTGACTGCAGCTCTTTCTCCTCCACAAAAATACTGTCCTTAGCTGTTCCCCTGCACAGCTGGAAAATTGTAGAGCTGATCAAGTGTAAAACCCCTCCATATAAAGCCATCCCAGCCTGTTCTGCAGTTGAGCAGGAGGAGAGGAGCCCTCAGGCTACTCTGCATCTCCAGCTCAGAGCTCCCCTTCCCACCAGCATCACCAACCAGTCACCTGCAGGGCTGTCTCACACATACCAGGATCCACCACGTACAAGCAGTGCAGATCCTGGAAGCTTCAGGCATGTCCTTGTCTGTGCCTTTATTGCAAAATAAAGGACAGCAGCAACTCTCCATCTACATAAGGGGAAAATCACCCGTTGCTTTCCAAGCACGTGCTCTGGCAGGCAGAGCAACAGCTGTTCCCAGCAGATGCAAACTCTTCTCATGGGGCTGGGAGAGGAATGAGCAGCTGACACAGTGCACCACTGTCCAAACCAGAGTGTGGCCAGGCTACTGCCAGCATCTCTGAGCAGCTCCTCTATCAGCACAGTTAAACCTACCAAGGCCAGCTGGGTTTTAGACCAGAGAGCCCAGCACCACTGACTGTCCAACAGCTACAATGCCCTGGGAATCTCTTAGCTAAGCTCTAATCCTGTCCAACATTGCTTAATTTGGAAGATGACAAAAGTTCACAGCTTAAAATAGTGCATTTCCTCTCCTAACCTTTTCAGCTTAGAGAACTTGGAAAAACCCCTGATGGTCCCATCTGAAGTGCAAGATTTTGGCCAGAAATGAGAGCACAGGTCCTTGCCTGGGGGGGTCTGGTAGACCTAGTGAGCTTCTCTCCACCCTTGCTCTAAAGCTTTCCCCCTCAGGAGCTCTGTCAATGATCTCCTCTCCAGTTCATCACTGCCAAGGAGGTTTTCATGGAAGGGTTGGCTTTCAAGAAGAAACTTTCCAACCTGAGTAATGAAAGGCTGAGAAAAGCCAGAGATGAGACCTCATGGAAAAGAGGAGGGGGCTGCAGAGCCAGGTCTACAGCCTCTCTTTGACTGCTTTATTCTAGGGAGGCTCACCCTTAGAGCCTGCCTGTCAATTGAGAAGAGATGAATCTTGCAGCATCCCTTGCAAACAACCCACTGGAAATGAGAAAAAAAAAAAAATGGAGGAGGTTGAGGTGCTGGAAATCTGCCTCTATTTCTAAACTGCTTGAATGCCAAGTGTAACTTTCCACTTGGAGACCCCAGGCACTGCCAAAATCTACAGCCCCTTCAGACGCCACAAACACTCCCTCCTTCAGCTGTGCCAGGCCAGGCAAGGCAACAGGCACTGGGAGGATTTCCAGCCTTGGAAAGGAACCTACCCAGAAAATATCTTCATTTAGAATAGAGAAGTATGGCTTAAAAATAAAAGAGGGCTGCCAGACTTGACTTTATTTAGGGATGTGGCTGGGAAGACAAACCTGGGGGGGTTTGGGGTGTAGGTCTGTTTAGGCAGGAGCCACCATAACTCATGAGCCCACAAGCCCAACACCTCCCTTAGGTGCCCAGAGCTTCCAGAGAGCTGGGACCCCCCTCCACTGCTCTGTCTCTTGCTCTTCCCACGCTCAGGCCACTGAAAACCCCGAACGGGGCCACTCAGGTTTGAACCCCCCCTTCCCTCAGCATTGCTGGGGGTAAAACCTTTGCGCTCTAGTTGGCAGAGGGCGCGTTCGCGGGGGTGACGGTGCTGAAGAGCGCCCACCTGGAGAACAACCGGCTCACCCACCTGCCCCGCGCCTTCCCCTTCGACAAGATGGAGACGCTGACGCTGTCCCGGAACGCCTGGCACTGCAACTGCCAGCTGGCACACCTGCGCAGGTACGGCCCCTTCCCTCCTGGGGGGGACACCCCTTGGGGATTGTCCCCCTGTCCACCAAGCTGTGCCAAGCAAGAAGAGGCTGCTGGAGGCTGCTCAGGAGCTTCTTCCTCAGCCTGCCCTCTTTGTTCGTGGCATGAGGGGATTGTCCCCCTGTCCACCAAGTTGTGCCAAGCAAGAGGAGGCTGCTGGAGGCTGCTCAGGAGCTTCCTCCTCAGCCTGCCCTCTTTGTTCGTGGCTTGAGTGTTGTCCCGGATGGTTTGTCCCCCTTGTGAGCTCCTGCTCTCCTTCCTCCCCATGTCCCAGGTGGCTGAAGGGCAATCGTACCCGCACCGAGGAGACCTGCTCGACGCCGGCGCAGTACCGGGGCCAGTCCATCCGGGACACCCCGGCCCTCCGCACCTGCAAGCTCCCCACCAAGAGGTCCAAGAAGGGCACCCGCCATTAAACACGTAAGATGGTTGGCTGGTAGAGCCACTCCCTAGCAGTAGCTGGTAGAATGACCCACAGCACACCCTGGTGCCACCAGAGGTACGGGGACTTCTACCTCTGATTCAGCGACACTCGGGTTTGGCTACAAGTAGCTCATCCACTCACGTCCCCACTCAGAGCTGCTCCATCTACTGGAAATAGTGACCTCCATGAGCTCCCACCCAGAGCAGAGAATATTCCTGGAGCACCAAGGATGGAGTCAAGCCTGTTAAGCAAACGTGGGGCTAAAGACAGGCCTGGGGCAACACTTAAGGGTGAAACGTGTAATTAAGTATGAAAACAAGTGTGGGTTTAGCCCAGTGTTACCATGAGCTGGGATCACACAGGCTTTACTTTTCTAACCAATTGGAGATGCTCAGCATTTTGCCTGAGCAAAGGTCCTCCAGGTCTGGTCTGAAATACAGGGCAGGACATAGCTGGGAAATCTGGCTCCTATGAAAAAAATCAATGTTTTCCATAAGGAGCAGTTCCCAGTCCAGCATCTGCCTTCCAGCAACTACAATTCCCATCCAAGACACCCAGGTATTTAAAAAGAAGGGCTGATGCCTTCAAATGAGTGTCCCAGAAGAGGGAGGTAGGAGACAGCAAATATTTTCTTAATGAAGTGGTGTGGGCCAGAAGGTGATTCAGAGACAGGACTGACTTTCCCTTGAGCCATGAGCTTGCTGACATCCACCAATCCAAACACCAACTGTGAAAACCTACCACACAAACACCTTCCACAACTGGAAACTACCAAGAGGATTGAATTCTGCTCACAGAGTAGCAAGAAAGCCACAATTATCATCAGTCCATCCCAAGCATTTTCCTTTTCCCCAGCCCAGGATTAGGTCTGGAGCTTGTATGGATTCTGAAGGATTTTTTGATGAGTCTGCAAGTTTGGAAGCTCTTGGGAAAGGGACCTTTGCTCATTTGTTAAGTGACCTTGCACTGCACTGTATGAAGAAGGGTTGTGACTGTGCCCTTCCATAGCAGAAAGGATGAGGCAGAAGCCCAAAGCCCAGTTATGGCTGTTTGGTCCCCAGTTCACTAAGGATATGAATAACAGGATGGAGAAAGGAAAGTTATGACCAAAGTGTCCACAATGCCAGTGGTTCTGCACCTTCCTAAAGCAGTTAATTCTTTCACAGTGCCAGAGGTTTTAAGGATTAGAGATGGAAATACCAGTCGTTCCATATAGGGCGGGTAAAGTTCCACTCCAAGGATGGAAAAACCTCACTTTTCTAAACCACAACACTTAAATGTATTTTATTTACAGGCTTGGCCCTTCTTAACCTTCTTGTCTCCCTGTCTGAACTCAATTCCAGTTCACTCCTCCATGATGAGGGTAATAAAACCATGACAGCAATGTCTGGTTTTTCTAGAGCACCTCCCATCAGCTCCCTGAAACAGGTTTACAAGTGTTAACAAAATAGAAACCTATTTATTCCAGTCCTGCAGAAGGCAAAGCTCGATACCTTTGGGTGTGAGTGCCAAAATACAGGCACACAAACCCATTCCAGGGTGGTGAACATGATTTTAAGGAATATGAAGTACCTCTGACTTCATCATGCACCTCTGGAGAGCCAGGCAGCTTTCTCAGATGTCAGCCACAGGGCTCTGTACTTCAGAAATGACCAGTGACTTGGGTCACTGGCCACATTTCAGATTAAAGGCTGCTTGGCAGTTTCTAAAAATCTACCTGTCCTGGATTTTCAGAACCAGGGCACCAAAATAATTCACTTCTTTTGAAAATTTCACTCTTAGGTTTCTTCCTGTATGAGGGAGATGCTTGGTGACCAGCAACACTTAGGGTAAGATACTCAAAAGTCACACCCAGTTGGCACTGAGATCAGGGACAGGACTAACCCATCCCCTCAAAAGTGGGAACTTCATGGCTCACTGGCTCCTAACTTCATTCACTCATCGAATATAAAAATAAACAGATCAATGCTAGAAGTTTACTGATATGCTTTTAAAAATCCCCTTAAACATGGGGATTTCTCTCTTTTTTCTTTTCTTTTTCCCCTAGCAGGCCCTGGCATGGCCTGTCCTGGTGACCGGTCACTTCAACCATCAGAAAACTACTGACTTCTGAGTCCTTCCTTAAGCTTCTCCTACCTGTCAGGAAACATTTCTGATATATCCAAACACCTCCAGCCTCCTCTGAGCCCCCGCTTCTCTGCTGACTGCAGGATGGAATCCACCTTTCCAATCTTTTCCGACATCTATATGCATTTTTTTTTCCCCAAGAGGCATTTTTAAAAACTCAACTATGCATGACCATACTAAGACAACCTAAGCTAGATCCTGCCAGTGAAACACAGTCATCTTCCCCAGAAGCACCATAACCCACGACCCCCATCAACCAGTTGGTTGCTGGCTCTCTCCTTCCAGTGGAGTGGAAGAAAGAGGGAAGGTAGGAGCATCCCCCAGCTGCTTGATCAGGAAAATTGGTCTCATACAAAGAAACTCCTCTGCCTTCCCATGGAGAGGATCCCTGCAGGCCAGGGCTGAGGGGGAGAGGTGAAGCAATGCCCAAGAACCACTGGCCCTGAGAAAGAGCTGCCCTTCCAATGCCAAAAGGCAGCAAATCTCTCTAGGTCAGCCCAAAACCCTGGAAGTGAAATAGTGCTGGGAAATCCCTGAGACTGAAGCCATCTGAAGAGGGGATTCCCTCCCACCCTCTGCATCCAAGAGAAGAAGGTGTGTGACCTGCAGCCCAGCTGGGACACCTTTCACCACTCCTCTGCTCTCCACCCACACTCCAGAGGATCTAGCAGGACACCAGGATGACTGTGGTTTATTGTCATGGCTATCACAGCACCACAGTTGCAACTTAACTGTGTTTTTTAATCCTAAAGAGTTATATAAATATATGTATATTTATTCCTCTGTAACTGAGTGTAAATGACCTTTAAGAGGACAAAAAACTCTGTCTCCTATGTAGAAATCAAATTGTATATTTTCTTATGTACATCTTCTGTATAAAGCTCTTGCTGCAAAGATTAAATCACCAAGTCTCCCTGTGTCTGTCTGAGGGCTGGAGGATCAGAAGTAACATGAGACCAGTGGTACAAATATAGACTTAATCCTCTTTATCCTATGGGCAGAGCAACTGTTTGGGAGGGTTTTATTATTTCTGTTTCTACAAAGCAGGACCACGTGACACCTAATGAGTCCTGGGCACTTGCAGTAGGGTCTGAAAATGTTTTGTGAGGCCAAACTCAATCCTACTATAAAAATAGGTAGATGTCACCTGATGAGAGTCTGGGCAACAGCACCAGGGCTGTTGGGTTTTTTTTCAGCTCAGCATTAAGAGCATCACATCTAGGAAAAAAAACCCTGGCTGCCTCTGAGACAGCTCCAGCACAGATGCCCTGGACTGCCTTGCTAACACAGCAGAGCACACAGTCATTCCTGTAAAACCCTGGTGTGGGGTGGTCTGTGTCTGCCAACAATAACACACCTAACCTGACTCCCAGCCCCATGGGTCTATCCATCAACAACAGCTTCCCAGGCATCTGTCAGCAGCGTGGCACCAAAGTGACTTCCTTCAAAGTAAAACAAAATGAAACACGTCACCTGGAGTGCCACTGACCCCCTTGCTGGCCCCCTCCCCATGCAGGACATGCAGATGCTCTTGCACAGGCCATGGGTGCAGGGACACGTGGTGGAGCAGCAGCACACGTGCTCGGACATGTGCTGCTCTCCTGGCCAAGCAGTGCCTGGTGCTGCACGTGTGGATGGCACCATTCCCACGTTCAGACTCAAACACGCAGCGTGCAACAAGGATTTATATCTGCATGCAGCCCAGGATGGTGAGAGAAACCTGAGAGCTCCACAAGAGGAACACGTGCACCCACCCCCGCCAGTACAAACCAGCAACGCCTCTTCCATCGTCATTCATCCTGGCAGCGTGTACAACAGAAGGGTTTATAAGCTTGGAAATGCTCAGTATTGAAATGCCCAACAACACTGAATGCAGTGGCTTCTCTTCTTACAAAGCTTCCTCCCCAGACACCCCACCAGCAATGGGGCAGAGCCCCATTCTTCCTCCCAGCCCCTCTACACCTCCTCTGCCTGTCCCACCACACCTGATCTCGGCAGCTCCAGCACCACCAGGCACAGCTGCCATGCAGAGATGCCCAAATTCAGGCTCTCACCACAACAAACACTACTTGTAGCTCTAGTCACAGGAACCACAACTCACCACCATCTCTGGCATGTGCATTTTGGTCATAACTGTCTTCATGATCTCAGGGGGAACAGGAGAACCTGCAATGACTCCTGGAAGAAAGAAAGATTACAATCTTGGAAACCATCTATTTATTCCCAAGAGCAGTCCCCCAGAAGATTCCAGATTTAAATGCTGGCAAGACCTTCAGGATACATGGGTTCCTGTCAAAACACTTCCTATTTTTATGGATACATAAAAGGTCCTAGTTATTCTAGAATAAGGCTGCAGCAAGGCTGGTTTGCCTAAATAAATTCAGGTTGGCAGAACTGACCCATTAGGTTTCCATTAAGAAAATAAACTCTATAGCACTAATCTAGTCCAAGCTGCAGTTCCCCCAAAAGGAAAGATTCAGAGCAGAAATAAACACAGATTTTTAGCAAGACAAATGCACCCATCCATCATCACCACCATAAAACCAAAAACCTCTCCTCTTGCCTTGCACAGAGCAACCCTTTTTCCTCCCTTTTTGGGGGAGGGCAGATCACATCTGTCCTGTCCTAGAGCTAGAGAAAAAAAAGCAGGTTAATATATAACTGACTTTGCTGGGGAACAAGATGAAACAGGATCTTTTTGCACACAGCAGAGATGATTAGGTGATCTGCTGAAGTATTTCTTTATGCTCCAGCACAGTGTTCCCTCCAAGCTGTTACTGCCTCAGAAGGGCTGATGGTCTCCTTGGTTTGGCTCAGATATTTCTGAGCCTGACTGCAACAAGAGAGAAAGCTCCAGCACAAGTTATCACCCCCTCTCCAACGCTTAGTTCAATGACTTCCAAAAATCAGGGAGGAAACTTCGGGCCAGGAGAAATCCCAGCACAGCTCTGCTTTAGGGGCTGCCCCAGCCTCATGCACACAAGGCATCTGCTGCCACACGGTGGTGGCTGCTGAGACCAGAGCCGAGCAAAACCAGACTTCCCAGCTCCCCGACCTTGCAGATGAAACAGAAAGGCCTTCCCTCCATCTGCTTTAAGGTAAAAGAGCTCTTAACAACCCATAATTATTGAAGGAAACCCCAAGGAAAGAAAACACAGCATCACGTTTATTGGGAAACACAAGGCTCCTGCATCCAAACTCCTCCCTCCAAAGGAGCCATTTGCTTACAAAGCTGAAAACAGCCTCCCAGCAGGGAACCAGTTATACCCAGTTTCTAAGAATTTTTCTGCTTGAGCTGTCAGACTTACCTCCCCTGAGGCTTGACAGGTTGTAGGAGTCAAAGTCCGGCTGGGACAGCATGTCTATGTACATGGTTGGTGTGCCAAAAAGAAAGGAGCATCTTCAGGAAAGGGAGAGAAAAGGCAAAGCTGCAGAGATGGAACCAGGGGCAGCCCCAGCTCAGCACCACATCCCATCCCACCCAAGACCACGGAGCAGCAGCACAGCAGGTGTGTTGTCCATCAGTGTACATAGGTATGTATAAGGCATATACAGAAATCTACATGTGTGTATTATACACACACAACAGCTGCCTTGTTTTACAAGCTACATGTGAAGAACCAGCTGGAAATGGAACCATCTCAGCAGCAGAGCTGGACATGGAGAACCAAGGGCAGGTGGCTATGTGTAACCAGCTGCAGCAAACCAGGAAAACACTGCTTTCCAGCCCAAGTGACCTGAAGGATCCCTTATATTTGGGCAAAGAGCAGTGTGACAAACTCCCAAGCACAGCAGAAAAGACAGGATTTAGCCTCCTGAAGTGCCTGTGGCAGCATGTGCACCAGCAAGCCTGCCTGTCCCACCACAGGAAGAGCAGGAGCAATGTCCTGGCAGATAGGAGGAGGGAAGCAAGGAGGTGTGAGCTCCTCTGCAGGAGGCACCAACCAGCCCTCACCTCTCTCTTGACACCGCGTCCAGTGCGGCCCTCGCCTCGAAGCTGGGGGATGAGAAGAAGCAGGAGGACCCGTGCAGGGCCATCACCATGGAGCCTCCCACTGAGCCCAGGCAGTGGTAGAGGGGGGCAGGCATGACACAGCGATAGTCCTGCAGGCAAGGCAAAGGCTACAGTGAGGAGAGATCAGATCTTCCAGCCTGAGGCCAGCCCATCCCACTGCTGGAGCTCAAAGATCTGAACAGTGGGCTTCTCCTTGATCATTTAAAACTAACTGGCATTCATCTGTGTTCCTGGTAGGTAAAGGGGTCTTTTTGTAGGGGGAAAATGGTGAAGTGAATCTCTTTTCAAACCCCCACTCAAAAAAAAAAAAAGACCCTTTACATGGAACTAAAATGAAGGATTGATGAAACTGCACTGAAATGACAAATGTGATGAATGTTCCTCAACATCATCAGCAGCAAAACATCCTGCCCCTCTGCTGAGCAAGGACCAACGCTCTCCACACACATGGTCTCTCTGTGGCAGTAGAGACCACCCCAAACTGAGTTTCCCGCAAGCCTCACCTGCCCTGTGATCCCCAGCCTCTGGCCGATCAGGTTGGCGTTATTCACGATGTTCCTGTGAGAGAGGGTGGCTCCTTTGGGGCTTCCTGTTGTCCCCTGAAAGACACAGACTGTTTTGCAGTGATGTCACCTCTGCAGAGGATGCACTACCTGTGCCCAGGGCATTTCCCAGGCAGACTCCAGGGTGATCTATTCTCCATTCATACCTGGGAGAATTTCTTTTCCTCTTTAAGAGCATCTGAACCTCAAACCACATAAAAAACCTCAAATGGTCCAACTCCAGTTCAACAGAATTCACATGACACCCTCTCATCTCTATCAGCCCTTGACAAAGGGCTGAGCAGAAAGAATGGAAGAAGCAAGGAGAAACGTGAGAACTTCCTCCATCCTACAGCAGATGGAACCAGGTCTTGGTCCCAGAAGGCAAAGGAAGTGGGATTGCTCAGCATCACTCCCATCTGTATCTGCAACCCCAGCAAGGAACCCCACCCACAAGGCATGGAGCAGGCAGAAACACCTACTGAAGTGAACTGGATGTTGATGGGGTCAGTGTTGGACTGCATCCCCTGCAGGACCCTCAGCTGCTTCATGTGGCTGCTGTCCCCAGCCTGCATCACTTCATCCATGTGGAAGGTGCCGGGCAGCTTGGAGTCCACTGTGATAACAATGGACAAGTCAGGTAGCCTGGTATAGAGAAAAACACCATCAGCAACAACAGAGTGAGGAGAAAACTGCCCAGATAGGGACAGACTGGTTGGGAGAAGCCTCCAGGACAGTGTAACTTGTTCTCTTTCAGACAAGACCCTCTGTGGGTCCTTCTTCCACCAGCCTCTGCAGTTGAGAGAACACAAGGCAGGACACAGCTGGGAGGTCAGTGCAAAGACACCACAAGTTCCTAACTCACCTTTTGCTCTTTACTCCCCCTGGACTGGATTTCTCCAGCTCGGGACATAATTCCTTTAGAATGTCATAATACCTCTGTGTTTTAAACTGGGTGGGAAACACCAGTGCCCTGCAACCAACCTGTGAAGGGAGACAGAAATCCATGAGAAGTCGTGTGGGGTTGATGTTCAGGACTTGATGAAGAGCACTCACCACCACACAGGAACATGCACAGCCCTGTGACACCCCCCCCAGCAAGTGGGAGCCATTAACACCACACCAGGATTTTCTCCATGGCTTGTTTCTGCAACACAAGCAGCTCTTTCCAGAACTAAATCTGGAGATTTTTAACTCTTCCCAGTAAGAGCCACAGTGTGTGGTGGTTTAAAGGTTCACCAAGGAGTGTGACATGGGTCCCTGCAGCAGACACCCTCCTGGGCTTGGGGACATGTTCCAGCAGGAAGGTTTATCAAGGGCAAACACAAATCAAGCCCTTACATCCCTGCACTCATACAACCCCACAAGCATGGGGCAGGGAGCTGTTCCTGCATGCCCAGCACAGCAAACCAGGAGCTTTGCTCCTCCCTGGGGTTCAGGTCAGGATGGGCTGGTTGCTTTTTTGATGGGCAAGAGAGTGAAGCTGCAGCCTGAGGTTCCCTCTTCTCCCAGGATCCCCACCCCTCATTGTGACCACAAGGCACACAACTCATTTTTCAGGTTAGGAGTCCCAACAGTAACAAAATATGAAAAAAAAAAAATTAATTTGATCCCAAATGAGGGTTTTTGAGGAAACCTGAAGACTGCCTCTCTGGTCAAACCAAGGTTTTGTTGTGGGGTTGGGTTTTTTTAAGGTGTTCCATTTCCTAAGGTTTTTCCACCTCTTTTTAAAGCATCAGCTCTTTTAAAACTTAAAACATTTTTCATTCAACCTTTACATTTACATAGTCCTGCAAAAAGAGCATTTTAATTACTCCAAGCATTTCTATTTCTTTTCAGCAGACATTTGCTGATTTTGACCCAGATTTGCAAACTGCTTTCATCTTAAAAAAAAAAAAAAAGGCATTCTTGTTAAATAAACTATTTACATAAATGATTTACTTGACTGTTATCATTATTTTCCCAAAGTCTGTGAAATAAGGAGACAATAAATCATTTGTAAGTACCCTCTGGGATTTGTCAAAAGGAAAGATAAACATTTGTTTCATTTTTTGGAACAGCCTGCCCAGAACCCAGGGGACTGAGTCTGTACTGGGATGTTTTGAGCCTTTAACTTTTTACAATTAGTTCCTTCAACCTACTTTTCTGGTTGAACCAGCTTTGCAAAACTGATACTGTGTGAGGAGAGAAGCTGGCAGGGCAGATGCTATGTGAGATAAGGGTCTCTAATTGGGCATCTCCCCCCTTGGTGTCAACCTGAATGACAGCAGACCTGTCTTCAAAGGGCCTGTCATATGAAAGCTGCCATCAGTTTGCCTTCTCTAAGCCCTAGAAACACAACAGGAATCAGAGAACTGGTTAATATACATGTATTTGTGTATCTACCAAAGGGAGGGAATCTGATGGAGCAAGGAAGGGACTGCATGGACTGACAGGCTCCAACAGGCAAAGCCCTGAAGTCTTCAGGGGTTTTGTTGCACAAATAAAGGTACAAATAATTAGAGAGGTGAGGAACACCAGAGATCTCCGTGCCAAAGGAGAAGTTAGGAACACTAGGACACTTAGGAGGGTGAGACAGGAGCAGTCCTGTTCAAACCAAGTCAGAGTTACTGATGCAGGAGAGAAGTCTCCCTTCATTGCTAGAAATTATCCATTTTCTAGGTAAAGCAAGAACTTGGATGGTGCTGGGAATACCCAGAAGTGGTTTCCTCTCTAATATCAGCCTTTGAATTCAAGTTGAACAAACCACAGGTAAGCAAGATAGCTTCTTAATCCTAGGTTCCATTTTTAGCCATTAAAATGTTCAATAACCTGAATTCCCTGTTACTGGGGCTAAGGAGCCAGAACGATTTGAACTGATTGGTGCTCTGCCAACTCAAACCCAGGCAAGTAGAGGAGGGGGCTGAGGCAGAAAGGACCACACAACAGAAAGATATCAAGCAGTGGCAATACCTAGAACTTAAACCAGGCTGAACCCAAGGCTAAAAAAAAAAAAATAAATCTGAAGAGAAATCAAGCTGTCAAGTAGCCTGGTCTTTTCTGAGCCTTCCAGCTTTCCACTTCTAAGGTTAACATCCCAGATGGTGATTTTTGCCCCAAGCAGTGGGAAGGCAGAGCAGTGCTGAGCTGGGGAGGGCAGCTGCTCAGTGCTCTCCCTCCTGGGCAGCCTGGACCTTGAGTGTGGGAAAGTTAGAGCTGATGTTAAGACAGATGTGGTCTCTAGAGATTGCCAGCTTCTTAGCTAGTCCCTGTGTCAGATATTTAGTTTCTCCTCTTTTCCTCATTCCCTAGTAAATGACTGCTGGCAGAGGTGGCTGTTACTGCTGTAATATTGGCAGTACAAGGTTGTTAGCAGAGAGAGAAGGATGAGCAGGATGCAGAAGCCTCTATCAAACAGACAGGGTGGCAGCCAGAGGCAACAGCAACAGCAGAAGCTCATCTGGATTGTGTCCCCACTCCCCCCCTTACACCAGTTCTCACAACAAACCCATTGGCAGCAGCAGTCAGTGCCATACAAACCTTCCTCAGGACAAACTCCAGCTCCTGGGCCTGGTAGGCTGGGTTCACAGATACCTCAAAAGGGAGAAATAAGAAGGTTGATCAGAGTTACCCTTGCCTTGAAAACCTTCTCCCCTAACATGTATTCCAAAAGAAAAGTTCTCCCAGGAAAAAGTGACACTCAAAGCCTCTTCTCCAACACACAGAGCTAAGAGCTCACATTCACATTTCACATTCACCAGAAAAATTGGCTGACTCTGAAGGTTGTATGAAAGAAAACAGTTAAAAAGAGAGGAGAGATATATGTGAACTCACATAATCAAAACAGTCTCAGGAATAGAAACCACACCTCCTGTCTCTCCATTCAGTCCACTAAACTGAAGACTTAAAGCTCAAGTGCAAGCCAGGTTTCTTGATGGATGGTCATAAATCTATCCCTTCTCCTGTCCAACTCTCCTCACAAGTAGCATTGGCCAGTGGAGCCAAGCTCACCATCAGGTTCACACTGAGCCATGCTCATCCACCCTGTTCCTTGGCAGACACTGGGATGAACCACAATGAAGCCAGTGGAGCAGAAGGTGGGGTGAGGTCCTTACCATGGTGCACTGTCTGAATATGCTGCATTTTGGTGCATGTGTCAGGCCATACTAGCACAAAAACTGGCTTTTGGGGATATGTAGCTTGGACCATGCTTTTAAGTGAGCATTTCTACCACGAAGCAATGCAGACTCTACTTAGAAGAGATCTAAGTAGCTGGTAACTGGTTAGGACAGCAACACACCACATTAAAAAAAAAAACAAACAACAAACTTGACTCTTTGAGTATCTCCTGGTGCTTCGTTGTCTCCTTTTCCTTTCCCAGCAGACTGCTAAAAACCAAGACACAGTAAAATCCTTACCAGGATGATTCCTGCCTGGGCAGTTGCAAATTGCATGAGAACCCACTCATATTTATTTGGGCCCCACACCCCCAGCCGGTCTCCCTTCTTCAGGCCAAGAGCCAGAAGTCCAGCTGCTGCTTGGTCCACCTGGAAAATCATAGAATGGTTTAGGTTGGAAGGGGCCTTAAAGATCATCCAGTTCCAACCCCCCTGCATGGGCAGGGACACCTCCCACCAGCCCAGGTTGCTCCAAGCCCCATCCAACCTGCCCTTCAACACTGCCAGGGATGGGGCAGCCATAGCTTCCCTGGGCAGCCTGGGCCAGGCTCTCACCACCCTCACACTAAAGAATTTCTTCCTAATGTCTCACCTAAATCTCCCCTCCTCCAGTTTTTATCCATTACCCCTTGTTCTCTCACTACAACCCCTTGCAAAAAGTCCCTCCCCAGCTTTCCTATAGTCCCTTCAGGTACTGAAGAATACAAGAAAAGATCATGAGGATCACACCTGGGATGCAGTGGGGGATATTAATCTCCTGGCACTTCTTCCTGAGGAAAAAACCATCATATTTGCAACTGAAACTGCAATTACTACTTTATTTTGCAAGAGCACGTTTCAGATGTGCAGATGTATGTACAGATATTCTGAGGAACTCAGGGAAGTTTTCATAGTCCTTGCTATGTTCTCAAATGAATTTGTGAGATCTACTTTGTAGGAGAAATTTGAGGTGTAGCCATTCCCTGTTTTAGTTCTGAATTACAGCCTACTTTTTAAAATTAGGGTGAACACAGCTAGTCTTGTTTATCTGAATGGATGTAACCAAAATGCCAGCAAATGTTAAAAAACCCAGATCATTCTTCCAATCCAACATCATATCACCCATTTCATAGAAACTTTCCAGGTAATCAGCCTTGAAACACTGCCCCTGTGTTCAGAACACCTAGAAACATGTATTTGTATGGAATATGCATGCACACATCCACATGCATAGATACACCCACATGTTTTTGCATGTGATATTGAGACCAAGCCCTTGACTTTGCTCAGATGCCTTTGTGCTTGGACTAGAAACCTCCACGCACTCAGGACCTCTGACAATCAGAGCAACGTGACTGGCCCAGGAGCTAGAGCCTTCTCCAGCAGAAAAAAACACCATGACTCAGCCCGCAACACATCAGATAGGGGTGATGACTTTTAAGTATGAAAGTTCATTCTGGGATATTCAGCAAGCCTTGTTCATGCACTGTCTCCTCCCTTTGGTCTCCAGGCTCCGAGGAGGACAAAGGCAACTCACACCCATCGGGTGTTTGCTGGGGAGGTGCTGGTTCCCTCCACACAGGGCCAGCCTGAAGATCCACACAGGACACACCCCTAAAAAACTGGTTTCCATTTCTCCATCACACCTGCTGCTGCTGTTACCCACCTGTCCAGGCTCTCCAAGGGGTGAACCAGGCACTCACCTCCTCTTTGAGCTGAGCAAACGTCTTCCGAACCCCATCTCGGCAGAAGATCACGGCTTCACGGTTGGGAAATCGCTGGGCAGTCTCTTCCAGGCACTGGCCCACAGTTTTGGTGAGAAGGGGAGTGTCTAAGGATCCCTGGACATAGCTGTTGGTCACCTTGGAGGATGCAGAGGGCACCCTTGTGTGCAGAGCACTGTAAAAGAAAAGAGAACGTTCTTTAATACAACTCCTCGATACGATTCTCCCAGCCTGGAGGGATCATCAACATGCCAACAGCACCAGGAAGCACATCCTAGCACTGGTGGGACCACAGGCAGCCACTTCAATAGCTCAAGGCCAGGAATATCTCCAAAAACACTCTGAAAACATGTACAGCAGCCTGTGTGCTGTTCAGTGTGTCATGGGAGGAACCCTGCCCCAGAGAGGATTAACAGATCAGCCCAAACTCCATTTCCTATTCATTACAGGTTCAATATTCTGGGAAGACTTGCTGCTATTTACCACAAAGGATTTGTTTTCCTACCCATGAGAAACACAGCCTAGCATGACAGCACTCCCTGTCAGGGTGGAGTTAAGTCTCAAGATAAACACAAACGGTTTTGCCTTCCAGGGATGGGGAAAGCTCTCCTCTGAGAGCTGACCAACTGGCCTAACCCTCTCTCCTTCACTGCTTCTCAGGAGGCTGAGGGTTGTGCAACTTCCATCGACTTTGTTCAGACAAATTCCTTCTGGCTCTGCTCTTGGGCAATGCACATCAAGGCTGTAACAGCTGCCCAAGGAGGGGGAGGGAGGACAAGTTCTAAACTGAACTATCTTTTATCATTTAAGAGCCTGGCACACAGATAAACTAGGAGAAAACACCTTTGTAAATATTGGTTATATAAACTAAAGGTTGAAAAAGCTCTGCCTAACCCAAGGAGAGGACAAATGCTCCTGGGGAAGCAGAAAAAGCCACTGTGGCCATGGGCAATCATGTGTTGGAAATGGCAACTGGAAAAGCCACTGTCCCCATCACTGTGCACAAGCAGGTCCAGCCACTCACCCAGGCAGACCAGGAAACCACAAGCTGCCTGCAAAGATGTTTGGTGGAGACAACCAGACTCACAGCTCTCTGAAGCCAAGTCATCTCCAGTTTCAGCAGAGCCTTTCC